AGCAGCAGCAGCAGCAACAGCAGCGCGCGCGCGTTCGTAATGGCTGGTGTAGTACCGTGTGGCACAGTGGCGTGGCAGGGTGGCGCGACGCGGCCCCGTGAAGCCGCGTGAAGGAGACAGATAGGTGGAGGATAAACGGCGGTCGTGCCTCACAACGATGTCAAATGTGATGCACTGATCCTGACGTTAATTAATGCCTGCCGACACGCGCGCTACGCTTTGCCGCGATGGGAACGTTCCCGGCGTCTCTGCTGATCGTCGGTGCTCGCGGCGTCCGCGTTTTTCTGCAACGACGTCTTTTAATTATCGGCTCCCACCCACGCGTTTCTCGCTCGTTGCTTAATTCTAGGACCCCCGGGGCAATCGCAGGGGCTACACACCGCTTTGCATAACTGCGACGCACTCGTCCGAATCGCGAGCAGAGATCTTCGAACGTTCTTTCGCCGCGAGCATGTACACCACGGTCCTCCGATTTGCGCGCTCGTGCGGGCTGGCTGCATCTATGTGTGTGTATGTGTGTGTGCGTCCTAGACGCGTCGCATCTGCAAGCCACGTCGCATTGCGACATTTTTACCCAGTGTACTTTTTAGCCGACGCTATTCTCCCCTTTTGCCCTCTCATCGGCCCTGCCAGTCATCGAAGATACCCGGAGAGACTATCGAGGACGCGGCTCGCGATGCATGATCTTGCGTAAAGTGCCGATCGATGTTCGCGAAGCCGCGCGTCTATATTTGCGGCGTTTGAACAGCGTTCGACGGTAACACGTGTCCGTAACGACGGCTAACTTTGTAAGTGTTACCGAGTGACCGAGTCCGTCAGTGTTGCCTAGCGATCTTGTTACGGCATTAGTATTCGCGCAGTTTCTGTCTCTCGCAATCAGCCTAATTGTCACGTGACGGTGCAAGCACGGTACAAGCATCGTTGGTTACGAAGCAAACGCAGCTATTTGTAAATTGTTCGTTGTTGGGTCCCGCGGGAGAGAGACATCGCGCTCCACGCGAATTTGCAGCAGCAGCAGCAGCAGCAGCGGTCGAAGATCAAAATCGGTCGCGTCCTCGTCGTCGCTGTGTACATACATACGCGTAAACGTACGGGCGATCGAGATCGATCGGTTTAATTAAATTGGCCGAAATTAGGATTTCTTTGCGCGGCCAGCTTGTCGCTGCCAGCCAGTGATTTCATGTCTGAAAGAATTTCCAGCGCAACGATATCGCGACGGCCCGATCGACTTTTGCAACTGGCCGAATCACCGGTGCGTGTTCAATTTCAATTTCTGCCGAATCATCGCTATTTTTCACGATCAGCGAATATTTCCGTCCGCGCAATTTTTACCGCGTGGAAACTCGAAAAATACGGCAGGGACAATAGGACGGGCAATAACGGCCAGCGCCGCGATGACATATTTCTTTCCTTTCGTTCCGAGAGAGCTTTAATTTTTATCCGTCCCAGCTGATAAACAATTTCGAATCGCCACGCAGTCTGCCTCGCTTACGATATTTGATTAATCAATTCGCTGTAATTAATGAAATTTAATTAAATTCGATGTACCAATTAAGCAAATTAATTTTCTAATTGCGCGTACGTGTCTGCAACTGTGGCTGCATTAAAATCTGCAATTTCGCGGTGCGCTTTCTACACGGCGCGAATTTATCGCCCGCTGCGTATATCGCACAGAGATCGGAAAAAGACGTTATAAACGCCGGTATCGCTTTGATCGCGAAATTATCAGTTCGTAACGTCGTAACGTGATACACTCGCGTGGTTAAATCGCCAGCCGAAAAGCGATTTGTCCGAAAGCGACGCAGTGACTACGCTTTTCCCCTGCATTTTAACACCCCTGTCACGTAGACGCGTTCTCTATGAAGGAATAACGCGCAGCTACCGATTTCTTCGCCCGATGATTTATCGCATTAACCGACACTTCGTAATATAAGTAGCCTTAACTTGGTTGGACGTGCGCATCCTTAAGTACTTTCACGATGGTCCGTTGAACGTCTTAAAAGGAGTCAGCCTGACTCTATTAGGAAGTCGCCATATTGAATGCAGGGACTCCCTACTAGAGTCAATTTGACCCCAGTTAAGTTCAATCTTCTCTCTTCGCTTTTCCTGAGGTCGTGGCTGCCTTCTCGTCCCTTTCTTTCTTCCTCTCGACCTCGTCCGGGTTGCGGCTCGTTGTTCTTACATTGTCAGACGTCTTGTTCCTCGTCTTTACTTTTCCCCGCTTTTCCTCCTTTTTCCTCCCATTCCTCTCGTTCTTCTTCGTCAGCGTCACCTTTGACGCCCACCGGGCTATTCGTGCTAAACACGATATCGATCAGACGCCGGATTTTAATTATCCCGTCGAAACCTAATTAGCTCGACACGTAGTTCGTGTCTCGCTCGATCGAGCCTCTGTTCGGACCGATGTTTAAGCGTAAGTTACCGTGCAATCTACCGACGCTCGTGATCGATGCCTCGCTTGTGACAACTATTACGCCAGAGAGACGCCCTATCCCCGAACACGTTGGAATCCCTGCTTTCCGCTGTCTTAAATCTAACGCCGCAGAGTGACCGGCGTGCGCGTCGCCGCTTCGATTTATCCTAATCAGGCGAACTCGAGATCGAACGTGTATCCAAAAAATGACGGAGACGAGAAAGTAGGAGAAAAGCGCGCGGTCTGGCGGCTGATTTAAAACCGAGTTACCCCTGACTTTCCGTCAGTTTGATACGCAGCTATCCCCGTTCCTCGGTATTTCCATGCCATTTTATCGACACCAGTCAGTCTGCCGAAGAGACACATCGGAGGAGTTTCCGTGGGTCATGAATTTGTGAAATTGGAAAGCTGTCTGTTTCTCTTCTCCCCATTTTACACTTTCCTCCGTCGTTCTTTCTATCCTCTGTCCGTCCCAGCCCCCTGTGCTCATATTCCCGATTCGCGGACCTCTCTACGGAGAAAGACAACCGGCTTTCGAATATCGAGAACGTTGACGGGTTACGCGACGATATTCCGGCGTATTATTTCTTTCGCGATACGTGTGCCCGGTCCGTTTGAATTTCATAGCGACGCGACGTCGTGGCCGTCTCTCGTCTTCAGCTTTCCGGTTTATCGGCCGCGCGTATGGCCGACTCGTGTAACAGCGTATCGCGATGAAGCAACGAAGAGGGGAGAAGCGGAAGTAACGGAGGAGGTCGAGGAAACGCGTTAAATAAAGATCCTCATTGGTATTCATTAAGTTCATTAGCATCTTCCTCCGCCGATTATCTCCGTCTTTGATCCGTGTTTGCTAACGTCTCTACATTTGTTTACCAGCGTCAGGATTAACCGACTATGCTCGGCGCGAGATCCTCGTAGA